ATTATTGTAGCCCAGTTTGTGCTGATTACAGTGTTATTAAACTTTAGACATTCAAATGTTTGTAAGCAACTGAAAAAAGCACAAATGTCAGGGCATGTCAAAACCTTTCCAGGCCCCAAAACACCCTTGGACCCCAGAGGGTTAATAAACAAACTCCAGCTTGTCCAAAATGCAGCAGCTAGAGTTGTTACTAGAACCAGGAAGTATGACCATATTAGCCCGGTTTCCGAGGTCACCGTAGCCACCAGATCCAGTCTGTATCCAGATCAGATGGTCACTGCAGTCACCTGGATCCAGTATGACATCACAGGAGGTGCCTTAAAGGTACATAACAAATTAGGTGGCCGTTACAAGTCTCAGAGGTTGCGGGTCATTTCATTCACTACAAATGTTAACAATTACAAAGGGGGTTTTCACACAAACACGCACATACAGATTTGATAAATTTATTTCTTAATTGCAGTGACTGCTCTAAAATACGAAGCACCAATGCTTTAAGATTAACTGATTTTTTCCCCAAGGCATTGTTAGATGCCAGTGTTTCCTGTCATAGCTGTGAAAATATTTGATTTTAAAAGCAGTATCATAGCTATCAAACTATTTCTTGTTATAATTTTAAACCTGTATTTAACCAGAATGATCAGAATTTAACCAGAATTAGATTGATCTCAAAGTAAAAAAGGTGCTTAAGTCTGATTTTGTAGTGGCTGTGCTTTAAAATTAAATTAAAGAAGATCTGCATATTTATTTATATATTTATTCATTAAGCAGAAGATTACTGCTACCTAGTTGAAAACAAACACTTATAAATGAACATGACATGACATTACCACTATGACCAGTACATGGCTGCAGAGGATCACTTGATTCATGTATTCACTTGCCGTTTCCACTCCCATATGTATAGTTAATCAAAGGGTGAGCGATTTATGTAGTTACTTGAATTGAAATAGTTACACTACTTATTACATTTTAAATAGGGTAACCTGTAAACTGTAACCTATTACATTTACAAAGTAACCTTCCCAGCACTGCCTAACAGTAACCGTCAGAAAATTTTCTGGAAGTCAATGGTGAAAAAAGTGTCAAAGATGCGACCCCCCCTCTCCCAATTTTTCATGCCACAGCAAAAATCAAGCGTTGTATAATATCCCCATGAACTCCTGATGGCCATATATTGGTCACACTGTAGTTAAGCAGTTATAAAACATAAAAGATGTATGTTCTTTTTTTTTCAAAATTATGCATATTTTTGTACGTATTCGCACAAAATGTAAACATGATGTAAAATTCACATTAAAGAAGATCTGCATATTTATTTATATATTTATTCATTAAGCAGAAGATTACTGCTACCTAGTTGAATAATGAAAGGGTGAGCGATTTATGTAGTTACTTGATAATAATATTTTGAGCTCATTTAAAATTCTAAACAACAACAACAAAAAAGCTTCTTTGTTTATATTTTGATTATTTATAAACTTTTATTAAAGAAATGTGTAAAATGTTGCTCATCAGAATCATGGGTTCGATCGAAAAATGTAGGCCTGTATGTTAAATGCAGTGCAGTTTTCTCTGGATAAAAGTAGCCTATATAAATGTAAGAGCCCTTGAGCAGATCAGATAAGACCAAATGAATGAATGAATGAATGAATGAATAGTAGGCTAATAATAATAATAATAATAATGATGATGATAACCAAAAAATAATAATAATAATTAATGTGTTATTTTCTTTCCTTTAAGTAAGCGTGCATTAAACGATTCAAAGGTTATCAGAATTAAAAGTTAAATCTGTCATTGCAGCTTTTTGAAGTGTGAATTTTGTTTGGAAGGATGAAATGATAGTAGGCTACATTTTCGTCAGTTATTTTATCGGTTATTAAATCAGATACATAGAAGCACAGTAAAATTACATTTATTTGAATGCATTTGTGAGAGCGCGATTACGTGTAAATTAGTCCTGCCTGTCTGTGCAACGTCTCTCTAGTAATAGTGGAGCTGTGGATTTTGATTACTTCAAAACACAAATAAATTTTCGGTATAATTTTTCTGTTTCTAAGCTTGTTTATTGCCAAATCACAGGGCAGCGTTGACAATATTTTTTGTTTCTGTGTGTGAGTGATCCGTTATGTGTCTGTACATGTGTGCGTGCAGTACAATCCTTGTAGGCAGAACTAGTTTAGAACGGCTATAGTTATGGCATTAATTGTGCTAGTGATTGAGCGGTAGTGGAGCACTCTGAGAGCGAGCGAAAACCAGAATTCTCCGACTTTCAAAAGATCCCCGCTTCAGTTAAAATCACGCTGCTCCCCTCTCAATGCACTTCGATCCCATACGCTGCTTTGGGGTGGCAACTGGGGTGGCAAAGCTCATTTTAAGGGTGGCAGTTGCCACCCCGTGCCACCCTTGTGGACACGCCACTGACTACAATCAAATAAAGAAATCAAGTGACAGTTACCAAAGTATTTCTATGAGAAAATAACGGCAACACAACGTGAAAATAGCGTTCATCAAATGAGACATCAGCTAGTTTCTTTAGAAAATGTACCATGTTTTTACTATAGTAAATATAGTTTAATAGCGTTTGTAATTAAACTATAGCCACACATTTACATTGTCTGAGAGTCTATGAAATGTACTTTAATATCATAAACCATAAAATGTAGTCAGCTTTCTTCTACTATGGTTCATTTTCATAATAGGGCCTAGGTAAACACAGGTCAAAGTTAACACGTTCGCGTTTGCTTGATTCGGCCAGCTGCACATGTGACGCCGAAAGTAAAATCCTGTCAATCCAGAAACCTGCGGCTGAACCAGTGAAGTTCGGTAGCTTAGTGGTTCAATTACTGGCGTCTTATACTGGCAGACTTTTTTGTTTATTTTCCGTACTTAAACTGCTACGGGCGATCATACCAATAATTTGTAATCTTTACAAGAATATCAAAATCATGTAATGAGCAAGTGTGCATTTATTAGACAGCTTAATATCACGTCAGCTTGTGCTTTCAGAATCGGCGAATCTGCCGCGGGCGTTCCATCACATCAGCACCGGAGACCTGAACCAAGTTGGTCACCAGATAACACGGTCACCAGTTAAACCGAAACACGGGCACTCGAATAATTGGCGCGCCACAAATATTCACCTGGGTACACGATTCAAGTCAAAATAAACTATGAGAAGAGTGGAAAATAATTTAGTATATAATAAAAGTGTTTTCTTGACATTTTTTCAAGGCACATCTTTTTTTATGTGATCACATTAAAGCGCATCTGCTAAAATTCGAGTAAAACTGCTTAGGCTACATTTTATATTTTATCCTGGGATAAATCTGGGGTGGCAATGCTTTTTCTTAGATCCTCCCCTGTCTGGAGCCATGAAATAGCACCTACCTGTCGCTGAGAAATATTTACTGGAGTGTAAATTTAAAAAAAAAATGTTTCAACTAGCCCCGATCTGCTCCATGGGCTGCCTTTGTTGACCTTACGGATACCTTGAAATTGGGAATTCTGTTGTGCACAGGTCGAGGGAAACTGGCCAGGTTTTTCACTTCAATGTAGTTCCATACTTTATGGCGTATATCCCATTTAGTATCTCCTAAATGTTAAAACAACAAGTCACGAGTTAAAGACAAACCTGAAGTCAAGTAAAGAACACAACAACATTAAATAAAATAAGACAAGAAAAGAAAAACCTTGATTCATTTTTATGACTGACTCCATTATGCGGAAGAGTTCACAGTTCTTTTCTTGATTAGGCTTGTGTATGAGATTAGCAAAATCTGCGCAGAATCGATCACTGGTGATCACCGCGAGATGCATGCCGGTTAGAAAAGTGTCTGGCTGCGTCCGAAACCGCCTACTCAATGAGTAGGTACTTAATTTCATTAAGTACTTACTTAACGAGCTCTAAAAGAGTAGAGCTGCGTCCGAAATCGCATACTTCCATACTATATAGTAGGCGAGAAACAGTATGCGAGGCGAGTAGTATGTCCGAATTAACATGATGGACTGTCGTGGAAGCCGGAGGTTTGGACGGAGGTCAGATCCATCTTTGAAATACAATCGAAGAATTAGCACAGCAGCATGCAGGCGGCAGTCAGTTGTAGGGCTCACAGTCTGTAAATGTGTGCCCTCCTGGGATAGAAAAGTATCCATCGGCGAGCACTCAAGAAGCTGGGCAGAAGCAGTAGGACATCCGGGAACTTCTCGACTACTCTTTTGTGAATACTGAGGTTTCGGACATACTTGTTCGCTCGCCTACTGCTTTTCCCCTACTATATAGTAGAGAAGTAGGCGGTTTCGGACGCACTTTAAGTAGACGCGTATCCGAATCTCACGAGAATTAGTACGTCACCCAGGTAATTCTCGCCTACTCTTTTATAAATACTAAGGATTCGGACATACTTATTCGCTCGCCTACTGCTTTTCGCCTACTATATAGTAGAGAAGTAGGCAGTTTCGGACGCACTTTAAGTAGATGCGTGTCCGAATCTCGCGAGAATTAGTACGTCACCAAGGTAATTCTCGCCTACTGTTTTATGAATACTAAGGATTCGGACATACTTATTCGCTCGGCTACTGCTTTTCCCC